GAGATTCTAAGTCTTTTGTAATTGATTTACATTGCCTATGGTTATATTGACATCTTGGTGAGCATAGGACTTGTCCATGGCCACATATTTTGCGTTTAGAGGCATTTGGATACTTGTGATGTAAAATGAGCCATATAATGTGTAAATGGCAAAGGATATGGTGAATGATGTAAAATGATACATTGGTATTAGATTATGCATGATGGAAGGGCCTAAAGGCTACATTAGTAATGGTACATGGGTTACATTAAGTATTAAAGTGTTAGGAATGAAATTATGGATCCCTTGAGAAGTGAAAAAGCTGTCAAAATTGGTATTTCACAGTAGGGAATCGATTCCCTGCTGTTGGAAATCGATTCCCTGAAACAGAGCACGTGATTTTCAGCCACTGTGAAAGCTGGGAATCAATTCCTAAGGATGGGAATCTATTTCTAAAAACAGGAGAGCAAAAATTAAGCTTATGTCTGTTACTGTAGCTGCTGGGAATCGATTCCTGGCTGTTGGGAATCGATTCCCACTGTGAATTTTTTTGAAAATGAGTCATTTATAACCTAGAGTTAATGGTATTACTTGGAGGGGTTATAATAAATAAGTTTTATTATTTCGCGAGTTTTGCAATTACAATTATGGTGTTGTTTTTAATTGAATACGAAAATGGTTAATGTTTAAAGAAAAGAATGTAATAAAAGAAAAAGTTTACCCGTAATTTAATTAACTCAATTATTATGATTGTAACTGTGCTTAATACCATATGCAATGATAACATTACCGGTACGTAACGGGCTGTTACAGTAGCAGGCATGTATGTCGTTTACACAAAGCTCTTTATGGACTTAGACAAGCATCAAGACAATGGAATTCAAAATTCAGTGCTACCCTCTTAACTCGTGGGTTTTTGCAGTCCAAATCAGATTACTCTCTTTTTACAAAAGGGACTGGTTCATCTTTTGTTGCTCTTTTAGTTTATGTGGATGATAGGTCCATAATCTGAAGTAATTGAAACTTTCATTCACAGTTCAAGCTCAAAAATTTAGGTACCTTGAAATACTTCTTAGGACTTGAAATTGCTAGGAGTAGCAAAGGTATAGTATTATCTCAAAGACATTATACTCTTCAATTATTAGAAGATACTGGATTTCTTGCTTCTAAGCCAGCTGTTGTACCTATGGAACATAAGTCACAACTCAATGGCATTGATGGTGATTTTCTACCTGACCCTTCTCGATATCGTAGGTTGGTTGGAAGATTGTTATACTTGACTCTTTCTAGGCCTGACATTACCTTTGTTGTTCACAAATTGAGTCAATTTGTGTCTCAGCGTAGAACACCACACTTGCAAGCAGCTCTTCACTTGCTTAGATACCTTAAAAGTAAACCTAGACAGGGGCTTTTATTTTCCTCATCTGCCTCATTACAGCTCACAGCCTTGACTGATGCAGATTGGGCCACATGTCCAGACTCAAGAAAGTCGGTAACTGGTTTTTGTGTTTTTCTTGGGGATTCATTGATATCTTGGAAGTCCAAGAAACAAACAACTATCTCTAGACCTTCAGCTGAATCTGAATACAGAGCAATGGCTGCCACTACTGCAGAACTTTGCTTTCTGTCATAGTTGTTGCAGAACCTTGGTGTTTGTAGTCCTCCTCCGGCTCTAATGTTTTGGGATAATCAAGTGGCGGTTCACATTGCTTCTAATCCAACATTCCATAAACAGACAAAACATATTGAAATAGACTGTCATTTTGTTCGCGATCAAGTATCTTCTGGTTTTATTGGATTGATGCCTATTCGTTTTCAACATCAACTGGCTGATGTTTTGACCAAGCCACTGCCCTTTTCATCCTTGTTTTCTCTACTGTCTAAGATGGCTGTGATTGATATACACACTCCATCTTGAGGGGGAGTCTTATATTTAACATTTAGTTACTTTATAACTAGTTTAGTTTTGGTTCCCACGTTTAGTTTAGTCACTTTAATTATGTTTCTCATACAAAAGTATTAGTATAGCTAGGTACCTAATGATCTTATTTGCTGCTAATTCAATCAAAACAAATCCTTCCATGTTCAATATTCATGATGATGTCTTTTCCCAAATATTTTATTGACGAAACTGTATTAATTAAATAAATAAATAAGCTATAATAACATCCATTAGACGCACATCAACTTTTCATGAACTGCCAGACTAATAAGATACGTGAAGGTGATTGCATCCACCACAAGAGAATATATTTTCATATAATAAATGTCAGACTTTTGTGAATATCATTGTGCTACAAGTCGTGTTTTATATCATACATATTGCATTTATGAATGAAGAGAGATGTCATACATATTGTAACCATTTATGCTTGCTAATGAATAAAAGTTTAACCGTTTTAATATTTTATTTTCATTTATTCAGTAATATTCTTTTAACTGAATGCAAATATTGATGGTATGTAATTGAATGCACTCTTTTGGACATCAAAATTAATGTCATAATTATTATTTTAATTGCATTTTGATTCTTGATGACTATTAGTTTGCCTTTTATTTGAATTTGAACCGTTAATTAAATAACCGTTACAATTGTTTCATGCATGGTTAAATGCTATTTAATACATGAATTTGTGAGTTGGCATGAATATGCATATACATTAAATGATACAATAATGATTATTACTGTTATGGTTTTTTAGTTTTTATAATTGAATGCAATTTATCCAGTTATGGATTGACATGATTATTGTAACCGATTGTCATAATTTTGAATTGACCCCTCCTTTTTTAATAAAGAAAATACATGTAATGAATTAGTATGGTTATTAATGTTCAATTTATAATATGAATTATCTTTATTTTGAATTATTATGAATATTCATATTTATTATATTGTTTTTCCATATCCGAATGAGTGAAAATAAATATAATTTTAGACCCGTCGGTTTAAAAGTATTAGTTGAAATAAAAGCCAAATCTATGAAAGACTCTAGCTATTTTGAAGGCTATGAGCACATGTAATGATATAACCCCTTAGAGGGCGTTTGGTACGAGAGGTATTTTTTTTAACCGAGAAAAAAAGATTGTCAGGGATTTGGTAGGGATTTTTTTATCCATGGTAAGTTACAAAAAAGTGTTTGGTTGATCAAAATTTTGCAAGGAAAGTTGGGTTAATTTTACTGATGCTATGTTTGGTTGATGGTAAAATATTGATGGGAATGTGAATGAAATTATCAAAATACCCTTAATTTTTTTGAATATGCCATCATCAAATGTAGCTTTTTTTGGGAAAAAGTGAATCAAATGTACCATTTGAGAATCCAAAATCAAGAAGAAAAAAAATACCAAAGATTAAGTGGGACAAAAATTTGCCTTTGTGTAGTTCAAAAAATAAATACTGGGTAAAAAAATTTGCTGGCATTTTGTTCACAATACTCATACCAAACATGATAAATAAATATTCTCCACCTCACTTTCCCATCATTCCATACCAAACACCCACTTAGGTGGTGTTTGGTTTGGAGCTTTTCAAGAGATATCTATGTTTCTCAAGTATGGCTTTTAGAAACACTATGTTTGTTTCAACATATTTTCACCAAAAACCATCTATGCAATTTGTATGGATTTATGAGAAACATAGATATCCGCACTGTTTAGAAACCCAATTTGAAGGTGGAATTTTTTGGAAACCCAATTTGAAGGTGGAATTTTTTGGAAAACCGGTTATCTCACTTTTAATGTACTGTTGATTTCATAAAGTTACCTAATTTTCCCAGTAAAGTTTTTTCCCACCAAACAACTTTTTTTTATATTTTTTTACCTATCTCATTTTATCTCACTTTCCAATCATTTCTCTATCTATTACATCTCTCTACTATTCCAAAAAAAATTCCTCAACCAAACGCCTCCTTAAGGGATAATAAAAAATCCAACATTGAGTCAAATCATGAAAGAAACCAAACGAAAGTGGCTAATAAAATGAATATGTGCAACTGTTATGAATCTCATGTCATTGAAATTAATCTCATTCGCTTCCCGTCTCTCAAAAGAAATCTACTGTAGACACTAATATAATTAGATTTGCTCTTCGTAGACAAATTTGGGATTTGCGATCTCATAATTATCGTAAGCTGACAAATCTTGCATGGTTGACGTGCGAGACTAATCGAGTATGTTCAACGTACAAGACTTACTAGTCCAAGTCGCATAGCATGATCATGACCATGAATGCAATACACAGGCTCAGCATTCCAAAAAGTCCCGCACAAAATGTATGCGGGAGGGACTAATCTCACACGTTGTGATTAAGGGCGGAGCAAGGGGCTACAATTCTAAAAAATCATTACTAGAATAATTCACTTTTCAAACATATAACCAAATTAATTTCCACACATTTACCGGACCAGACTAATCCCACACATCAGCCATGCGAAACTTACAATTATCGTACGTGCGGGACTAATCGAATAAGGTTAACGTACAAGACTTACTAGTCCAAGTCACATGGCATGATCATATACACACGCTCAGCATTCCAAAAACTCTCGCACCCTCCAAATTTGAAGAAAAATTTATTGTTAGAATTGGTCTATTTATAACTCCTAAGGCAACACTTATATATATTCCTGCGAAAATAAAAAAAGATGCAGGGTCGGAAATTTGGTTCCTATGCCGGGGAATTCTTCTTCTGTTGCTGTGTCTCCTCCTCCAACTAAGCATGATGTGTTCCTCAGCTTCCGAGGGAAAGACAACCCCCAAATTAAGAATTATGGCTCAGCCACTGTTTTCAAACACATAAGAATTATGGCAGTCCCGCATTAGAAACATATGGGACTAACTGCATTAGTTCAGTAATATCTTTCAAAATTACATTATTCTGGAGATTTATTTTTTGAACTGTATTAGTCGTTTTTCCCTAGAATATAACTTCAATCACAAAATAACTCCAAACAAATGTAGGTTAATATATTCAATATAACGAACAACAAAATACTGGTGATTTTATGTAAAACCTGTTAGTTAGGATTGAAATGGAAGGACTCTTTAAGATCCATACTTAGTCCTCATATTGTAATGGTCAAACTTTATATTATCATAATCAACAGCCCTCGTCTCAGCAGGTTTTGGCTCAGCTCCAACTTGTCCACTCTTTTCTCGAGGTCGATGTCTTGACCTTTGTTTCTGGCTCTTAGATTTAGTAGCATAAGGTGGAACCTCACTTGATCCGTAGAATTCAGCATACTCCTGTCTTTTTGAGGAAGAACGGTGCTTGCTTGACAAAGAGGGATCCTTGGAAGTGCTTGGTTTTATCTTTGGGGGCTTCATTTCTGAATATTTCTCAGCTGTGCTTGGAGTATGGACCTGCCTATTTTCAGAAAGAGGAGCAGGAGCACTTTGCTTATTGACCAATAGGGGCTCCATTTCATCTTCCGGCATCATAAGATGATCCTTCAGAGGTGTGAGGCCTCTCTTTGCGCCGTCAGATCTGAAACGCGACGGTATGAATTGAAAGAATGAACGAGTCAATGATTCAAGTGAGAGCTTAGAAAGATCACCAAGAAGCTGTCTAAAAGATGGCAATCCTGGCTCCTCCTTATTGCTTTCCGCAATGGGATTATTAGGTTTATCATTGCTTGCTTGGCCTTTGAATTCTTTTTCTGATGGTTGCTGCAGCATGCATGCAGTGTAATTAGCCAACCAGAAAAGATGAGTTTTTTTTTTTTAATATGAATAGCATGACATAACAAGTAAAATAGGTTTCAACATTATGACATACTAATGAACAAAGAAAGAAATAACGGGGGAAAAAAATCCTACTACAATCCCTACCAAATGACAACAAAAGAGAAAGAAAAGAAAAAAAGTTACCCGTCCACTATAGAAAATGAACAAATCGTTAAATTGAAGTTGACTTTTTAGGAATGATCACTATTTCAAATATCAATATTTTGCAACATTGCAAATTGCAGCTGGATAAACGTCAAAAACCTCTTTATTTTATTTTATTTTTATTAATTTTCTTGAGGTAAAATAGACATACCGTTTTTGAGAACAAAGAGGCTCCAAGCCCGTGCTGAAGCAGGCATGTAGCATATCCTACTATGACAGCACCAACAACTGTAAGGATATCTGCAGAAAACCACCAAGACTAATGCAATTTAATATAAAGAAGAAGAAAAAAGGAGTCAAATGGGTGATAGAGAGCATCTAATGGACTAAATGAACAGATGCAGCCACATAAATAATTAAAAATGAGCAAAAGATTCATTGTGTTCATTAGGAGGTTAAAACTTTGATTTCAAATTTATATATTCCTCATTTTTTTCCACTTCATTGCTCAACACTGCAGCAAATTCACATCTGCCAGAAAAGACCAAGACAAATTTAAAGACAATCACTTAAAATAATATATATAATATAGATAATAAAGAGAAAACAACAAAAAGAGAAGAGCATCGATCAAGGGAAAAAAACCTCAACCTTGTGCCAAAAATAAAGTCCACGATAGAGCCATAAAAGAAGATTAATGACATATCAAAGTGGCACGAACATGGATAAGCTTTGAAGAAAGCTAGTAATAAATCAAGAGCAACAAAGAACAATTCGAGAAACAAGGAAGAATTTGAAAAGCAAAACTACGATCAACAAGGATGACTTAAAGGCAACAAAACATGGACAACCTTCAAAAGAAGCTTAATGTCACAAGCCATGGTAAAAAAGGATCAAGTTCAACACTTAGTGGTATTTAGTTTTAAGACTTAGATCCTATGTAAGGGTATGATAATGCATCTCGTTTATTGAGCTCAAAGTTTTCACATCTTACATATTGCATGTTTTTTTCAAAATTCATGCTTCTCATATTGTATGGTTTTGTAACAAGAATTCTCGAAACTATTTTTAAAAGGTATCCGATATGTTTAGATTGTGAAAAACCTTCTTATAAGAGCCTATTATAGATGCAGACAAGACTACCAACAGAATTATTAGCTTGTGAGATAAGACCATAGCAATCTGGCACTAGCATGGATGGAGAAGTAGATGCCAGTGGAGTCATATCATATATGCTAAACAGGCATTGAAAGATCTAGGATATTGGGGGACTATCAGCACCGGTCAGAATTTGTTGACAGGCAGATACCAAGACTTGTGGAAGAATGGAGGGAACAAGGACCATAAAGAATTGTTATTGTTGCTTCTTATTCTCAAATTGATCCTTAGTGTGAGGCATCATGGCAGCAAATTCCTGCATCAATGACCATGCTTTGGCAAGGAAGGTTTCCATACGAGTGTCTAGTTGTTCATGTAACCTCATCAGGGTGGAGTAGTGCATCATTGGTATAGCAGTTTTTTGCCACACGTCATAGCATGTCTCAAAAGGTTTTTAAAGGTCAACAATTTTATGCAACAATTTTCTTTCAATTAGAGAGACGAATCACTAGAACATCTACAAGTTGTGGTAAGATGTTGGTAATGTCATTACCCTACAAACCAAATCATCAACAAGACACCGATGTTCTTGGCAGCCAAATTAGAGGGAATAGTCTTGGAGAAATCAGAATCGTTGTCTCCCATTGTGTTAATTCAAGGGGAATCACCCAAAAAAAAAAGAAGCCTGCATTAGGTCTGCATCGTCCAACCAACCCAAAAAATGCGGGGCCCACAATCTAAAATGTCTCTAAAATTGCCGAGTAGGAGCTGAAAGCAATTAGGATGGCTCATCAACATTAACACCACCTTTATCCAAAATTAATTGGGGATGGTGGTAAATGAACCCAAATGAAATATACGAAGAGATTGAAAAAAGAAAGAAATGAAATATATATATATATATATATATATAAGAAGAGGTAAACAATTAAAAGGGATATACAAATATATATATATATATATATATATATATATGAAAGAAAAAATAAAAAGGGTGTGGAAGAAATAAATAAATAAATAAGAGAAAAAATAAAAGATGGGCAAGGGGAAAATAAGGAGAGGGGGGGAGATGAAGATGAAAATAAACTAAAAAGGGACTATCTAGAACATAGGAATAACAACGGGTCTAACCCCCCACCATTCTTATAGTTTTTCTCCATTTCGTCCTAAGACACACCGCCCGCCAATCTATATCTCACTCCCATAAGTCTTGTTTTACTACCTTCCCCCAGGTAAGTTTCGGTCTACCTCTATCTGTCTTTGTGTCGAGCTCTTGGTAACAAACTTTTGTTCTTACGGAAGCATCTAGGGGTCTTCTCATTACGTACTCAAACCACCTCAATCTATGTTCTCTCATCTTTTCAGCCATCGGTACTACTCCTATCTTTCGTCGAATATCTTCATTTCTTATCTTATCCATCCTCGTATAACTACACATCCATCTTAACATCCTCATTTCTGATACTTCCATTTTATGCTCATGTTGCCTATGTACTGGCCAACATTCAGCTCCATATAACATTGCAGGCCTTACTGCTGTTCTATAAAAGCGAGATTTCATTATATTCTAAGAAAGAAGGTGCCAAAGAGTTCACACATGCTCCTTCATGCGGCAGTGACACCATTCAGGTGCAGCGAGCTTCAAGCAGCACGTGGAGAAGCCAGGGTCTAGAAGGTTTGGACAGGGTGCTTCTGATCCCGGGGATTACTAGACAAGATCTGAAACTTATCTGATAGCTGGAAAGTTGATTAGCAGCAGAAACTTTCCAGAAAGAGTCACAGCAAGGAGGGCTCGCTTGTATTGAGGCACGACAATGAAGAAGTGACTGCGGAGTAGTGGGTACTGCAACATTGGGATATCTTGTCGCTAAGCAGTGGGCACAGTAGGTTTAGGGTTTTGTTGGGAGAGACAATTCAAAAACTGCTCAGATACCAACTTAAAATCAAAATAAACCTGATTGGATGAACAGTCCATACATAGTCTACAAGAACAAAAAGAAGTTAAATTTCACTTGGGACTGGAATTTGTCATTCCATTTATAGATCACTCCCAAGGGAGTTAAGACAAGGGCTGAGCAGATACATCAGTTGCACAAAATAAACTCACCTGTCAAGACATAATTTAATGTATATGCCTGACAAGTCTAGTTCATTGACTATTCCTTAAATTTGAAGACAGAACCAAATCAGCTAAAGCTGCCATTACATATCAAGATACAACTAGTGAAGCCACCATACCTAGCTTATCTAAAATATGCAAAGAAAGAGATGCAAGCAAACTATTGCATCGGAAATTGTCCAGCAACTAATGTTTGCAGTGATCAGAAAAAGACTGATGTCATACAATCCCCATATGGTATTTTCCTCTGTTTCTTTCTTCACAACTGATATTTGTATGCTTTTATTCCTTTATTTAGTCATTGCATGGGTGATATCCTAAATTCAAAATTAGAACTTTAACATCAGAATCACAAGTTTCAAAGACCAGAAACATTTAGTCATCAGTGAAGAAAAGACATTCAAATTTTTTTTGTATTCACATTTTTGGAACGTAAAAGAAAAAGCACCAGACTATTATCATCTTATATCAAGAGAGATGGTGATTATAATTAATATTAATAGCCAACCATATCAAACAAAAGATTAAGAATTTAAACCTGTAATAGAAATTGAACTAGCTTGATAATCGCAATCCTCCTGATTGAGAAAGATTTGCCGAAGAGCAGCATTTCCTCTATCAATGACCAACAAGGAACAGGTTGGACGAACGTATACCACATCAAAATCATTTGAGAACTTTGCATCCTCACTGGGACCATCCCTGTAACCTGCAACATTTGACTTTCCTCCAGCAATTGTTGTAACACCTAAAAAATACTTACAAAGATCAATAACAATATCCTTTTTAACAATTCTCATAACTAGTAACACAGCACATCCATATTGAAGTTTTATCGGTAAATTTTATATTCAAACTCAGTTCTAATATTTTCAGATACCAATAGATCACATTAGTCCAGACTCGATCCTGAAATCCTGTATTGTAACTCAGTTAATAGTATCATATACCGGCATCTCCAATCTTTCTGATGGCCAGATTCTGAGTATCAGCAACATAAACATTCCCTTTATTATCGAGGGCAATGCCTTTAGGATGATTAAAGCGAGCATCACTAGGTTTTCCATCCACATGACCTGTGTAGCCCTGAAACGACCCAGCCACCAATCTTCCTCTACTATCTACAGTAACATTAAGAAAAAAAACAGAGGGAACTAAATGTTAAATCCAATGACTAAAGGTCACACCATTCTAATCATTCAATAAATTCAAAAATCTGTTTCACTAACTAGATAACTCTCATTTGCATGCAGCTATAAGAAACCCATAAACCAAGTAAAATAAAGCTTAGGTTTCGATTTTTCCCTTTTATTTTTCCTTTTGTTACCCTTATGGGGAACTATCAATGCTGCATGCAATTTTACTTATGGGGAACTAGATAACTATCAATGCTTGCTTAAGTTGAACCAGTCAAAAGACCAAAATCTAGATTCAATTTTTTTTAATCATCATTCTTATGTTTTGCCTGCACAATACAAGAACCAATTTAAAGAAGAAAAAGTAAGGACATTCCAAGAATGTATGTCAAAATTGTCATGTACCAAGGAATCAAATTCGATAATAGTAATAAAAGGCAAAAGGACACAAGCAACCATACACTGGGACAATGGTGGGGTGATTCGAACAATGTTGCTATTTGTTGCATCAACAGCAAAGAGTTCACCATCCTCCTCAGAGACACGGATCCTGTAAGGAATGACCCCAATATCGTTTCCTTCAGCAACAGTATCAACTACATAACCATTCTCAAATTGAAGAACATTCCCATCTGAAAATAAAAAATAAAAAACATTTTATAAACCACATCATGAACCATAATCAAGTTATACCATACACCAAACATTTAACTAACTTATGATAGAATGAAACGATTGTAAGAGGAAACATCCAACCTGACTGAGAGATCTTCGAGTTGGACCTTTTCCATTTCAGAAGTGAAGATAGATGCTTGATCAATGATCCTGATAAATTAACATTACTTAGTTAAAGAAACCAACAAAAAATGAAGAAAAGAAAAGAAAGAAAGTAAGGGGGGGGGGGGGGGGGGGGGGGGGGGGGGGGGGCGGGAATCAACTTCGTGAACTAATTATATAACTTTCTAAGGCAAAATAAAAACAGAATAAAAAAAAAGAGGCAAAAGATTGAATTACTGAAATTCAGCAGAATTAAGCATATCAAATTGGAAGAGAAAGAACAGACACAAAAAGGAAAGTAATCCATAAATGCTTATTTGAAGTGTTCAATTTGTCAACTCGCAAAAAGGATCAGTCTTTAACATACCCATTTGAAGAAAAGAAGAAGAAGAAGAAGAAGATAAGGAAAAACCAAATTTTGAAGAAATGGGCAAATGGGGAAGTGACATTTTTCTTAAATTTTGATCACCTGAAGGAGAAGCGTGAGCTTGAAAATGGAGAGAGCAAGTAAGAGCAAACGCAGCGAAAGCATAAAAGAGAATGTGATTTCTCATAGTTGTGTGACTGCGAATGATCCAAGAGAAGGTGATTTCTCAGTAACTATGGAAGATGATGAAGGTGCATTTTGGAAATGAGACGCATGGAATCTATATTGAACTCGATCAAGCTGTATAAAGTGACTACTTCTTCTACTTCAGCACATAGACATGTTTTTATAGTGTTCACTTCACCGCCTCAGTGTCTGTATCTTCGGTTTCAACTTTTAGATTCAACTTTCAGTTCAAGTGCTTTTATTTTATTCTCTAAATATTTTTTGTTTTCTAAAATTTTCTTTTTCATTCCAAGGGAAAGTGAGTTTTTCGACGTGGAAAAAACTTATTTACAAAATTATTTTCAAATTTTCCTATAATAATTGTAGTTCATATGAAATTCTCCGTATTAAAATTGGGATTTATAATTGTTATGTGACAGGAAACTATTGCATCATGCCATAGAGAGATCGAAAATTGTGTCTCAAATGTTTTGATTTTTGATTTTTTTTTTAAAAGCAATGGGACCCACAGATGTTGTCTCTGCATGAAAATAAAATTCATTCCTGTTGCATAACATTTCGTAATTCTATTAAAATTATCATTTATTCTACTTGAAGAACGGTATTCTAATATATGATAGAATTGTAAATCATATGTACAAAAGGGTTCTCTATTTATAGAAAATACATGACCTAGAATACTTGACCTAATGGGCTAAGTCCAATACAACAAATAATAAATAAATAAATAGTAATAATATTTACAACACTCCCACACAAGCTAAGGAATAGATATTTATCATTCTCAGCTTGCTAGTAAGTTCTTGAAATCTGTCTGAATGAAGCCCCTTTGTCAATAGATTAGCTAATTGACGCCCAGTGGGAATGTATGGAGTGGTAATCAACCCGCTATCAAGTTTCTCTTTGATGAAATGGCGGTCGACCTCAATATGTTTAGTCCGATCATGTTGAACTGGATTATGAGCTATACAAATAGCGGACTTATTATCACATAGCAGCTTCATAGGTCCCTCACATTTTATTTTGAGATCATCAAGTACAATTTTCAGCCACAGTAACTCACAAATGCCTTGAGCCATAGCTCGAAATTCAGCTTCTGCACTTGATCTGGCAACCACATCTTGTTTCTTACTTCTCCCTGTCACCAAGTTACCACAAAGAAACATGCAATAACCAGTGGTAGAACGACGGTCAGTCACAAATCCAACATATTCAGCATCTGTGTAGACTTCTAAAGATAGATTGCCATCACGTCGGAATAACAATCTTTTACCAGGAGTACCTTTAAGATACTGAAGAATTCTCTCTACTGCCTGCATGTGTTTTTCCTTTGGATCGTGCATAAACTGACTGACAACACTAACAGCATAAGCTAGGTCTGGTCTAGTATGGGCCAAATATATCAATTTCCCAACTAGCCGTTGATATTGTCCTTTATCAAATTGAGGAATCTCTTCTTCATAGCCAATCTTGTGATTATGCTCAATAGGAGTATTAGAGGGTTTACACCCGAGCTTTCCTGCTTCTTTGAGAAGATCAAGAACATATTTCCTCTGGCTGATAAAAATTCCTTTGCTTGAATGAGCTACTTCTATCCCTAGGAAATATCTCAGTTTCCCAAGGTCTTTGACTTCAAACTAGAGGCAAGCCGTGTTTGCAGAATCTGTCTCTCCACAAAATCATCATCTGTGATAATAATATCATCAACATATACAAGGAGCACAGTAAGCTTCCCATTTTGGGAGTGCTTGAAGAAAAGAGTGTGATCTCCTTGACTCTGTCTGTATCCCAAGGTCATCATACAAGGCCTTTTTTGATCTACAAACTTTATTTCCCCCTTCACAGAATCAAAACCAGGCGGGATTTCCATGTAGACTTCTTATTCTAACTCACCATTGAGGAAAGCATTTTTCACATCAAATTGATTTATATCCCAATTGTAATGGGCAGCAAGGGATAACAAGATTCCCACCGTATTCATCTTTGCAACTGGAGCAAAGGTTTCTTCATAATCAATGCCATAGGTTTGAGTGTAACCTTTGGCGACTAATCGAGCCTTGTATCTCTCAAGAGTGCCATCAGAATTATATTTCAGGGCATAAACTCATCTGCATCCTACTGCTTTCTTTCCGTTGGGTCTATCAATAACCTCCCATGTTTTATTTTTCTCCAACGCATTCATCTCCTCTTGCATGGCTTGAGCCCAATTCCCATCTTTCAAAGCTTCATGTACTGATTTTGGGATTGACGTAGAATCTAGAACTGAAACAAAGCTTTTGTGCTGCACGGAAAGATTAGTAGAGGAAACAAAATGGGAGATAGGGTATTAAGTACAAGAGGGACAGAAGGAACAAGATTTCTTGGAACAAGTTCTTTTTCCTTTTCTTAGGGCAATAGGTAAGTCATCATAAGCATAAGCAATGGGTAAGTCATTAGAGATATCAGAAGAAATAGACAAATCATGAGAGGCAATAATATTAGAATCAGAAACAGGAGATTCAGAAGAAACAGGAGACTCAGAAGAAACAGGAGATTCAGGACTTACCAGTGGTTCAGACGATTGAGGTTGCTGGTGAGACAGTATGGGTTGTTTCCTCCTCTAATATACCAATTCAGGTGTCAAAATTTTCCGTATCTCAGGTGTATTTGAAGGTTCTAACACACCAGGAGCAGACACACTAGGAAGAGAGAAGACTGATCCAGACTCAAAGAAGGAAGGGGACGAGTCTTCTGAAGAACTGTTCTCCCCCTGACGATGAAGACCCAGGAAATAAGATTCAGATTCTTGAAAGGTGACATCCATAGAAACAAAAGAATTTCGACTTGGTGGATGATAACACTTGTGCCCTTTTTTATAAGAGGTATAACCAAGGAAGACACACTTAAGAGCCCTAGGATCCAACTTACTCCGATGTTGTTTATGAACATGGACGAAGGCAACACATCCAAGCACTCTTGGTGGAAGGCTCTGCAATATAGGAACAGAAGGAAAGAAGGAAGTCATGGAATGAATAGGACTGATATTGTTAAGGACTCGTGAAGGTAAACGGTTGATTAAAAAAGTTGCAGCTAACACTGTTTCTCCCCAATAAGAACTAAGAACAGATGTCTGGAAAAGTAGTGCTCTAGAAACTTCAAGGAGGTGACAATTTTTCCTTTCAGCAACCCCGTTTTGTTGAGGGGTATCAACACATGTGAGCTCATGAATCATACCTCTGTCTGAAATGGATTGTGATAGGCGTTGGTTGACGTACTCAATACCATTATCAGATCTTAGTCTTTTAATACCCTTACCAAATTGAGTCTCAACCATGTGATGAAACCGAATAAATATCTCTGGTACTTCAGACTTGTCTTTCATCAAGTATATCCATGTTACCCGAGTACAATCGTCAATAAAAGAAACAACCACCTTGCACCTGAAACACTGTGCACTTTAGAAGGGCCCCAAACATCAGAATGGATAAGAGAAAAAGGTTCCCTGCTTTTAATAGTGCTAGAAGGAAATGACACTCTATGGTGTTTTGCAAATTCACAAACATCACAATGAAAGGTCTCAACCGACTTATTGAGAAACAGAGAAGGGAACATAGACTTCAAAAGACTAAATGGTGGATGCCCCAGATGCTTGTGATGGAGCCAAATCATAGACTCTGCAGTAGAAGAATGACGTGTCATTAATAACTGATTTTTGCTAGCATGGTCTGGAAGGAGATGATACAACCCATCCTGTTCATTAGCAACTCTAATTGTCTTCTTCGTGGTAAGATCCTGAATAACACAATGAGAAGGAAAAAATATGATAGAACAATTCAAATCAGTTGTAAGTTTTTTAGTGGAGATAAGATTAGTAGAAAGCTGAGGAACATAAAGAACATTTTTAAGAAACAAGGAAGGTTGAATTTGAATGTTACCAGAACCAATAACTGATTTATGGGATCTATCAGCTACAGATATAGTATGACTACCAACAATAGGATGATAAGAACAAAACAACTCAGTACAACAAGCCATATGATCGGTTGCACCAGAATCCAAAATCCATGAGGTTTTAAAATCAGTGCAAGAAGCAAGAAGAGATATAGAACGTGTGCTTTTACCATATAAGATCAAAGAACTGTCATTCTCGACCATTCTTCAATAAAAAAGTTAACAACCAGTGATAAAATCAACCAAACAGATTATCAAATGAAGTCCGATCAGTGAAACAATCACAGATCCAGACAGAGAACAAGGAGACGAGAAGAATAGCGGTGGTTCGAGGCCAAAATAAGGTGTCACGCGCCTCCACTCGCCGGTGGAGGTGGCTGCGCGTGGGCTTCACGCGCTGGAGCTTGGGCAACGCGTGAGAGCGCGTGTACTGTCCTCTCTGGCTGAAATTTTTGCACGGTGGTCGTCCGGCGAGCGCGCACCTGTCTGTGGGTGGTCGCGATTGAAAAATCACCGGAAGGTGGTCCAGACGCGATGACAAATCTGTTGGAGGTGTTTGGGCTGAGTAATCGGTGTTCGCGGCAGTTTGGAGGTGTTTCGGCTGTGTAATCGGTGTTCGAGGGTGTAATCGAATAAAAATAGCAGTGAACAGTAGTCCTCTTGGTCCAAAAGGTCCCCGAAATTTTTTTTCTAGTGACGGCTGATGGCAGTAAGAGGCAAAGGGATCAGGGTTTTTTTTTTACTCTAAAGGCAAATAGGCGCGGAAGCAGAACCCTCAGATCTAGAGCTTTGATACCAACTTGAAAAAGGGTATTCTAATATATTATATAATTGTAAATCATATGTACAAAAGGGTTCTCTATTTATAGAGAATACAAGACCTAGAATACTTGACCTAATGGGCTAAGCCCAATACAACAAATAACAAATAAATAAATAATAATAATATTTACAACAATTCTTTACTCATTTGTTGCTGGTCATCCATCAGAACTCCAATTTATTTACCTATATTTTATTAATAACTTTCACTTTCAATCAAAATTTACCATACTCCTAATTTTGTACATAAATCTGGGCGTTTGATAACTAAAATTGCGTAATATGTGCAATGCTTTCAATTATCAACCTATGTGCGGGAAGATATACCAACAGTTGAAAAGTCTATGCAT